CAACTGAGATCCGGGTCCGGAATGGTGAAAATGTGCGATTTTGATGCATTTTCGGCCTTAAAATGGCCGCTATCACGAAAAAAATGCATGTGCATATGTCCCATATAATGTGTGATGTATGAGTGAAGTTTGAACTTAATCGGTCCATGCATGTTCGAGATACAGGTGATCACGGACGCACACAGGGCAAAACATAAGTCCCCGTTTTCGGACTACGAAAAATGAATAATTAAGAGAATAACAAATTGTAAAGAAGTAAAAATGCGCAATAATCAGATTGGTGTCATGTATATGTAGTTCATCCTAGAACTATGATCAGTTATTTCAGCAGATGACTGAGATCTGCCCCAGGGTCATGTTCAGTCGGTGATTGACCCCTGAAAATACAAGAGAAGATTACAATAATGAATATTAATTAGGCAATATGATTAATAAGAGTTTCTTTCAATATTTTTGTTTTGATACTGTATGTTAATATGAACAAAGGGATTTGATTTATCATATTTTTGATGATGTTTAGTGAAATGAGATTACAATTTAAGTTGAACTTTTTACCACCAGATTTTCTCGTCCACATTTTTCTGCACCTTTTTGTTATATTCTTCAATATTTCTGAAAATGAGCCCTCATTTTGGAGCCAACAGACAAAATTTGAGTCAATTCTCATTTTTTACCAAAAAAAAATTGGCTCTTTGGTCTCGATCTTCTGAAAACTATAAACAGGATTTTGTGAATTTGTGACGAAAAGAGGGAACTGTACAGTACGTACCACTAATTCAAGATTTGTTTATATTAGCATATTCATTATGAATACTGTAAAACCATCTATTTTTCACTGACATTTAATTTCACTATTTGGATATTTTAAGCATAATCACCAAGTTTTAGGTGCATGAGTTTGCCAGCAAAACAATTGGTTCACACAATTTCTTCACACATGTTTAATTTAGCAAATTTTACTTATTAGCGAAAATACCGAAATTACAACCCAAGCAAATAATAATTAATGTGTTTACAGTACTACCCAATGTTACATTCGATCTTACATTAAGAGTTGTAAGACTCTCAGTAATTCTTCCTGACAGATTGTAGTAAGTAAGTATACGCCTTGACTTAAATTTATTTATCTCTGACACAGTTTTAAAACTCAAATGTAAACACTGCTTAAGTAATATATCATGTATATTTGTGAACATATTTACAAGGTATAGTCATCATGGTATACCCTATAAATATTAAAAATATTTATATTTAAGTTTTGGTACAATAATTCAATTAGAATCAGTCAACTTTCTTTGTTTTCATTTGTTAGTTTTACATTACATACATTAAAAACTAAAGGGGCGTGATCATAGCGACGCATCCTGTTTGATATGGAACTCATAACGGTATATATAACATGTGTAAAATAATTGCTTACATGAATTTCAAACATGCGCTGCATGACGGCTGCCATCCTTTAAGAGACAATGGCTACAAATTTGAATTTGGCCTCAAATACACTGCCTAAAGAATCTGCCTTTTATTTGGGTGTTAATTATATGCGTATTTTTGGTTTTATTTTATTCATTCATAAAAGCATTGGAAATAGTACAATACCATCCATTATATTTAATTTGTCTCATAAAAATGAATAATTTTCCATTATTGAAATATTAAATATGATACAACGTCTGCTTACAGATTTGTTGGGAATACAAAAATGAAATATCTGCTGACTTGAAATTAGAGGGCAACAACACATAGATTACGACTTACTTTATGAATAATCTAGCCTTTGTTACTCCTTGTAAAGTAGCCTTATTGTCTTCTACTAGCAGCATACAGCCTTCTCTCAAAGCCTGGTAACGATAGCAACAAATGCAGTACACAGTGTTAATATTTACAAATATATTAGATTCCAATACTTGTCACTTTCTCAAAAGGATAAACCCGATGATGCAAACCAGTTATATTTGGGTTCCAAAAATTGAACAGCATTAAACATATTTCTCAAAAACAATAGTGTATTTCCTCCATTAGAAGTACACTTTTAATATACTATATTTGATTTTGGATCAGCAACCAATCAGATATCATGTTACATACTGCTTTTTATAAGGCACACTCCGATTGGCTGCGAATCCCATCAGAGTGAAACTCCCTGAACGTGATTGGCTCAGCAATTTAATCAGATAAAAAAAAGCTTCTTCCTGAATCGAATTTTAATCAGACTGATTCTTATCATGTGTGCATACTTAATTGGGTAATTTGCATAAATTTAGATAATTAAATTAAGCTAAATCCATGTATTATCATTTTTCATGTTAGTTGAATTTAGAACTGATCTTTAATTATAACAGACTTACCAAAACTGTACTACATATTTCTTCCTCATGAAATTCTTGAATTCTTTTTTCTCTTGTTTCCTGAAAAGACAACATAAAACTCCATTTTTTTTATAATAATCAGAAAATCAAATTATTATCTAGAACAGCATTAAACTTTTCTTTTCCTTCTTTTCATCACAAATTCACAAAATAGTACTGTTTATACATATAGTCTGCAATTTCTTCAAAATTTTTGGAGCAAAAACTGAAAATTTACCCAAATTTTATCTACTGGCTCCAAAATTAGGGTTCATTTCCATAAATATTGAAAAAGTGAAAAAGTTAATTAGAATCAAAATTAAGGCAGTTGTAAGTAATTTATTTATTGGAAAGCTAAATAGAACAAGTCTCATTTACAGGCTCCATGCGGGAAGATTGCAAGCATCCTACAGGAAAGTCAATGATTTTTTTATGTACACCGAGGAGAGGACACACATACCCAACAACTGTACATTTCTGTACATTTCTTTATTCAATGTTGTATGCATAGGATTCTTCCTAATGCTTGGCAGGCAGATCACATATCACATCTTCACAGTAATAAGGTTATAAACCATTACCGGTAAAGTGTACACTTGACAAATCAAAAATACGATATTCGACTTGCAAACATAAATAGAATGCAATCTTACCCCCATATGTTTACTATTGGCATCGGCATCTATATAGTGTGGGTTAATGTTGAACGGTACTAAGCCGATAGCGTCGAACGTTGGTGGATATACGATGGGCATATCATTGGTTGTGTTGATAGTCTTGGTAGCGACGTTGGTGCCAGCGCTGGAACCAATATACGGTACGCCATCCTGTATTTAAACAGAATTATTATATAACTATATGAATGAGAAAAAAATATGGAAAATAATGGAGAATGAAATGTATTGTGTCGTTTATATCCATGTCAATGTTTAGAATTGTAAGATAACAAATCATTATTATAATCAGCTCTTTTGGAATTGACATTGCAGTACACATAGAAATCAAACAACTCAAACTTGTCAAGAGAAAAAAACAATAATAGAGAGAAGAAGAAGACATTTTTGAGTAAAGCATAACATATTTTATATAACACAATATTAACAATGCATAAATTCCAATTTTCTGAAGCTATTGTCTGAATGACTATAAAGCTGTTTGTTTGTTACTACTTACCTCCAATACTCTTTTCTTGATAACTGATACAATTTGTTGATCATAGAGGGTTTTCAACAAACGAAATGTGTTCCCTCCACCTAAAAATTAAATAATATTAAAACATTTAGTTATTATTATCAGTTTATCTTTCAAACTATGAATTTATGATAAATTTCAACCAGATACACCAAATATAATCTACATATGGAGTGAAACTAAGAAGGTGAAAAATCTACAATGAAAAGAATATCTTTTGCTAAATACTGTAAAGTAATTTATTTTCACTTGGAATTTATACCTTGAATATTTATTTTAGCAAAAATATCAGTATTGCTTACAGGCTATGGTTAAAATATTTCCAAGTTTGGTTGAAAATGAGAAAATTTATGTAATCCGTTTTAGTTTTGTGACAATTTTCATGAGTCAGGAAAAATTGTGTAGAAGTGAATATAGAAGTGATATAGTTTACTGTTACTATGATAACAGTAACTATGGTTACTCACCAACAAATATTGCTTGTGCATTATTAACTGCATCTACCGCGTTAGGTTGCTCATGAATACTGTCCACTTTGTATCCTACAGTAAAAACAATTAGTAACATCAATATAAGAATTACAAGTAATATGATTTATGTATTAAGTGTAGTAGTTGACAAGTAACTTGGTGTATTACATGTAGTTGATTGCAAGTAACACTGTTGTATAATAATAGATTACAAGTAACATAGTTGGTGTATTACATATAGTAGATTACAAGTAACATGGTTGATGTATTACATATGGTAGATTACAAGTAACATGATTGATGTGTTACATATGGTAGATTACAAGTAACATGGTTGATGTATTACATATAGTAGATTACAAGTAACATGGTTGATGCATTACATATGGTTGATTGCAAGTAACATGGTTGGTGTATTACATAGTAGATTACAAGTAACATGGTTGGTGTATTACATATAGTAGATTACAAGTAACATGGTTGGTGTATTACATATAGTAGATTACAAGTAACATGGTTGGTGTATTACATATGGTAGATTACAAGTAACATGGTTGATGTATTACATATAGTAGATTACAAGTAACATGGTTGGTGTATTACATATAGTAGATTACAAGTAACATGTGTGACGAGCTGTTTGGGACACCCCTTTAATTTTATTTATTACTGAGTTAAGGAGTTACTGAGAAAGAACAATGATGTGTTCTCACAGCATGCCCTTGATTATGGTAAAACCTCAACAATCCAACATGAGATTCCATTAGTTGATGACCACCCATTCCGTCTACCTCCTAGACGGATACCACCATCTCAATATCAGGAAGTGAAGAAACACCTGGAAGACATGCAGTCTGCTGGCATTATCCGTCCAAGTAAGAGTCCATATGCCTCTCCGATAGTGATTGTTCGAAAAAAGGATGGAACACCGCGAATTTGTATTGATTATAGGCAGCTAAATCTCTGCTCAATACGAGATGCATTTCCACTCCCTCGCATTGACGATGCATTGGAATCTCTTGGTCAAGCACAATATTTTTCAACACTTGACCTTACTGCTGGCTATTGGCAGGTGGAGATAGCGGAGAAAGATAGAGCAAAGACAGCATTTACTACCCCAATGGGTTTGTTTGAGGCGAATAGAATGCCCTTTGGCCTCCAAAATGCTCCAGCTACATTTGAGCGCCTTATGATGACATGCTTTGGTGACCAAAACTTCAGTACTTTGTTGATCTACCTTGACGACATAATCATTTTTTCAAGAACATTTGAGGAACATGTAGATAGGTTGCAAATGGTGTTCAATCGGTTACGTGAACATGGGTTGAAACTTAAACCTCAGAAGTGCCATCTGCTGCAAGAGAGAGTGCATTATTTAGGTCATGTTGTTTCCCGCCATGGTGTATCAACCGACCCAGAGAAGACTGACAAAGTCAGGTCTTGGAAGACACCAGCAGACAGAAAGGAAGTGCTTCAGTTCCTTGGGTTCGCAAGGTATTATCGGAGGTTTGTCAAGGGATATTTCAAAGTTGGCAGCACCTTTGTTTCGGTTGACTTC